AAACCCGTAAACCCTAAACCCTAAAGGCCCTAAAGCGTATTCTGGTCCCAACCAAGGAAATATAGTCCCATGGCGGTCGCGGGAGCTGTTGACCAAATCGCCACTCATCCCCTGTTGTAAGATCGGGTTAGGGGTGTAGGGGTGTAGAGTTTAGGGGTTTAGGGTTTAAGGGTTAAGGAATTACGGTTCAGGGTTTAAAGTTGGGGGTTTAGGGTTTAAGGGTTAAGGAATTACGGTTCAGGGTTTCAAGTTGAGGGTTTAGGGTGATGATGCTGAGAAGCCTGAAGCCGGAGGAGTCGTAAATTCCTGCAAGCCACAGACTCTGTAAGCCCATCATACAATCTCAATGCCATGCATTGTTAACCTTTGCCACCTAGAGCTGGTGTGCCCTCATAGTAGTTCCTTTTTGGGATTACCTTATAATAGATCATAGGATTCTAAATATGTTTATTTGTTTTTTTAGGGTTTAGGGTTTTGGGTTATGGGTTCTTTAGGGTTTAGGGGTTTAGGGTTTAGAGGGTTTCTTACCCAAATCACAGCGACCAGGATCTAATGAGGGACCCCGGGTTGGCGACCAAAAGGGCCCGAACTCCCCCCTCAAAACCCCGAAGCCGTAAAGCCTGAAGCCCTTAAAACGCCCTAAACCCCGCGTGTGGGGCTTTAGTGTTTAGGGTTTCGGGGTTTAGGGTTTCGGGTTTCAGGCATTAGGATTTAGGGCTTAGGGCTTCGGGTTCGGGGCTTTAGTGTTCACGGATGAGCCCTGAACAACCCGGAGACCTCCTTATGGCACCCCCTTCAAGGAATTCTGGAGGCAACCCCCTAGCTGCTCATGGGTTTAGGGTTTTGGGGTTTAGGGTTTGGGGTTTTGGGTTTCGGGTTTGGGGTTTGGGGTTTAGGGTTTAGGGATTACCGGGTCCCCAAACCCTTCTAAGATTCTACCAGGGTTTGGAGGGCCCTACTGTTGATGATTTAAATCCTGCACTACCTTAAGGGCCCTAAAACTATGGGAATTTAGGCATATTCTCCTTGTGATGGGTAGTGCAGGATTTATATCATCAACCTTTCTTTAATGCTTTTTTGGGACCTGTTCCTCTTAAAGGAATCATGATTGAAGTAAAAGGTGTAGACTTTGGGCCAAAGTCTACACATTTTACTTCAATCTTGATTCTTTGGGTTTAGGGTTCCCTTAGTTACTAGTGTCCCTGGTGAAGTACTTCAAAGCCTAGCCAAGTTTCATTCCTGGCCCCCAAACTCTTATTAGCCCCATGGTCTGAATCCAAGCACAGCCCCTCCTGAGTCCAGGTCACCAAGTAGCATTCTTGTGTCCCTAAACCGTTATAAACCCCAAACCCGAAATCCCTAAACTCTAAGCCCTAAGCCCAAAATCTAGGACATTTCAGGTGGGTAGTTACCGTTATAGGAGCCCTATAGAAGGTCTATATACCTTACAGAAGCCTTATAGAAGCTCTATATACCCTAAACTCCCCACCTGTAGTTTCCTTTAACTAAACTCTAAGCCGTTCCTAAACCCTAAACCCTAAACCCTAAACCAGGTCACCAAGTATCATTCCTGGGATGCGGGGTCTGGGCCGGAGCAACAGTCGGAGTGGAATGAAGTGGGCCTCATTCGCTCCACGGCTCAGCAGTTCAGCTCGGCAGTTCTTGAAAAGGTGTAGGATTTAGGGTTTTCAGGTTTAGGGTTTAGGATGTAGGATTTAGGGTTTAGGGTTCAGGGTTTATGGGGTTTATGGGGTTTATGGGGCTTATGGGGTTCAGGGTTTAGGGCCGTTTAGGGTTTAGGAAGCCTTTATACGTGTTTAGAGGCCTAGGGCTTAGTGTTTAGAGTCTATCATAGAAAGTCTGAACTTTCTGGTGGCCGGTTATTCAAGAAAAGTGCAGTTTTTTGTTTTAATGGGGTCTAGTGCAGTTTCGTTATAGGGTTTACCGACTGCTTGAGTAGTGGTAGAGACATGTAAGTTGCTGTGTAAAGAGTTCCGCATCAGTCCCCAGCACCCAGAAGACAAGCCAGGCTTCACCTCAGCCCAGCAGCCCGGAGCACAAACCCGAGCCAGGACCTTCAATTCTGAGCCCAAGAGATTGTAAGCACCTTACAAGAATCCCTAAACCCCTAAACCTCTAATTCCTATCCCCCTAAACCCCTAAACCCTAAACCCCAGATCTTAGCCTCGCCCCTTAAGCCCAAAAGCCTGAAGCCAAATTCCTAGCTCTAGCTTTCCTTGCCCTGCCAGCATTGAGAAATCCACGGCTAGACGATCCGATTCATGGTTTTAGGGTCTGCGTTGTATGACGTAGTTCCTTTTTGGAGTTACCTGTTTGGGATCCTTAATATAAAGTTGGTTAAGCCAAAAAAAGGAACTACAATGGAGACTATAGGTTTAGAGGATGTTTAGGATTGAGGGCTTGGCATAGGGATTTCGTGCTTGGGACTCAGGGTTTGTTTGGGTTTGGGACTCAGGGTTTAGGGCTTTTTGGGTTTGGGACTCAGGGTTTAAGGTTTAGGGCGCATAGGGTTTGGGATTTGGGGTTTCGGGTTTAGGGCTTAGAGGGCTTGGGGTTCAGGGTTTCGGGTTTAGGGCTTAGGGTTTAGGGTTTGGGGCTTAGGGTTGCACTCAACCATTTGCACTTCCCCTGTCCAGGGCACCCTCTCTAGTCCCAAACCCTCAACCCCACGGCCCGAGCCAAGCCCCCAGCCGTAATGCGTGAGCCCCAAACCCTCAACCCTACACCCTAACTGGGTCCTTGTTGGATACAATTTTACATTTTTGTTATAATAAAACCAAATAAGGATTAAAAATGATCATTTTTAATATATCCCCAACAAGGAACCAGCTAAACTTAAACCCTAAACCCCAAAACCTTAAGCCAAACCTCAACCCCGTCTGAGGCTTCGCAGCTGTCTCCGAGCCAACAGCGTGCGCGAGCCCATCAGTGTCGGCGCTGCTGACTGTGGCTGGGCTTCAGCAAGATTAGGGCGTAGGTTTAGGGTTTAGTGTGCAGGATTACCCTAAGACTCCAAAATCCCATAATGTCAGACTAAAACCAAAACACCTTAGACCTCCCAAAGCCGTGAGAGTCAAGGGCGCTTGGGCGAGCGGACAGCGAAGGATTCAGGGAGCAGCGGGTTTGCAGTTCTCGCAACTTGTGATGTGACCCCAAGTAACTTGGCTTTCTTAGGTTGCCTTGTTCTGATCTCCTCACATAGGTCCTTCAGTTGCCATGAGCTTTTGTTTGGGTCCAGGGTCGGATGAATCAGCAACTTGCTTCGCTTCAATACACTTTTTATAACCCTTTGTCAAAAAGTATAAATAACTACTTCTATATCCTAAAATAAGTGGATGGGTAACATATGGTTTATTCACAGCCTGTCGCGTTCGGGCCTTGGGGTTTAGAGAAAAGGTTCCGGCATGTGCGACTTCACGAAGCATTTGCGATGATAGTCTACCAGCCCAGCCCTTCCACTATGCCTTAGGTTGGAGGAATATATTATACCTTAAACGGTTTGGGGTTTAGGGTTTATTAGGGATCCTACCAGAAAGAAAGGTACCTTCCATAATTAAAGGGATATTGGAGGATCTGGGTAATGTCTCCCTACACCCCGTAAACCTAAAAACCCTAATTATGGAAGCATTTAAGGGGCCCTGTGATATAAAGGCACCTTACGCCACTCCCTTAGACCCTAAACCCTAAACCCCTAAGGCCCGGGTAGGTCTGGGTAGCAGCTGTACGCCGGGGAGCATTAAGTCGCTTATTACTTCAGGGTGTGCAAGCGCCCATGACCTCCGACGGGGTGGTTTAGCTCTAAACCCTAACCCTAAACCCTATAGACCCCTAAACCCCTAACCCCCTAAAGTTTAGGGGTTAGGGTTTAGGGTTCAGGAGCCCCCAGGGGGCCGTAAGTACGGGTTAATCCAAAGAACTATATATACAACATTCCAATTATATCAGCCCTGTTTTTGTCCAAGGTTCTTAAGGGTTTTTTTGTGGTCAAACGGGGACCATGCGTAGGGCCCCTAGCAAGGAACACTCCGATTCAAAAACGGGTAAGATTGACTCGCCCTGCACCCGGACGAGAAGAGACCAGATAGGGCCTGAGCCGGGCATCAAGACGAGAACATCGATGAAGCAGAGTAGAACCGTTAGCTGAAGGAGTGCTACATCTAAGAGTTCAACTGGGTGGTTCCCCAAATGAAGGTCCCTTTGGCCTTTTTATAAGGGTGTCGTACTATTTTGGGGATCCAAGAAAGGGACCTTAATCTAGAGAACTAGCCAAGTAACGCTAAACCCCAGCCGGCAGTCGTAGTCGTTTTCGTAGTCGTCGTCGCACTCGCAGTCGCAGTAGGGTGGTGGTAATCGTCGTAGTGGTAGTGGTAGTGGTAGTGGTAATGGTGGTGGTAGTAGTCCTAGTAGTAGTAGTAGTCGTCGTCGTCGTCGTAGTAGTAGTAGCAGCAGCAGCAGCAGCAGTCGTAGTAGTAGTCCGTCGTCGTCGTGGTGGTGGTGGTGGTGGTGCTGGTGGTGCTGGTGGTGCTGGTGGTGGTGGTGGTGGTGGTGGTGGTGGTGGCGGTGGCGGCGGTGGCGGCGGCGGCGGGGGTGGTGGTATTTGCGCAAGCGGCCCACAAGACCTTCAGGCAGTATCTAGTGACTCTCGTACGAACTGACAAGTGCGCAAAATTACCTCAAGATAACTCCCTCAGAATGATGTGCTTTACGGCCGTACCACTGTCGTCTTGTCTGCTCAAGCTATGATTTGTCACGACTACATCACCTCACCAGAAACTTTCCGCCTGGAAGAGGTCGGCAAGCTATGATTCGCATGCATGGATGCTTCCTGGGGACATGGACAGTCCTTAGCGTCAACAATGTAACGCAAGATTAGTAAGCGTGACTACCCACAACTGCACCGAAAAATGACAAGTGCAGTGCATCGCTCATCTTCTAGCGAGACATGGTCGTGAAAACATCTGTTGCTTCAGACAAGGCTCCACATGGCATCGTTGCAGTCTGAATTCCGGGCACGCGGCAGCATCACAAATGGTCAGCGGCACCAGCCCAATCCTGTCGGCTGCTCACAGACCATGTTTTAACATGCCCTAAGCCCTGGGCCCCCCCCGACCCCTGGTCTCTGGCTGTCTCGGCATGTCATAGAAAAGTGTGACAGAGGCAGCGACTTACCGTACTTTTCAATCTCTGAGCCTGGCAACTGCTTCACGCGCAAAGCGCTGGTTGCTGCTTTCGCGGATCTCGAGCTCCTCTGGCCGAGTCCTCGCGTGTTCCCAACCAGAAGTCTACTCGAGGAGGGGCCGAAGAGCAAAAGCAACGCTCTGCCGTCGTGCTGCCAGGATGCTGCACGCCCGCGTGCACCTTCCCCGCAGCAGCCACATCCTTTGGCACCATTCGGTGCTGTGGGCGTCCAGGCAAGGGTTCCTCTGGAAAGACCTAAGGGCACAGGGGCGTTTGAATCGACTGCTTTTACATGATCGGCATAAGGCTATAATGCGGCTATAAGCTCTGCAGAGTTGAGACTTCGCTCAGGCTTCGTGAATGCACTCCGGCTTCGACCGCCATGTGCAGACCGCGGCACAGAATCAAAGATGAGGTCGGGCTCCACCACGGCAGTCTGGAAGGCGCTGTCCGAGGCAGCCGGCTCTGCCTGGCAAAACTCAGACCCCGGGCCGCCGGGCTATGCCGGGCTCTACCTCACTGCATATACTGCATACCAGGGGCCCATAGGCCTGTGCTGGGAAATGTTGACATGCAGATCAGACGGTAGCAAGGACAGTCGGATGCCACCATTGGTTGATGGCCTCGGCCTGGTCCGAAGACGGCGGATGCAGACTCCAGCCGGCAATCGACGAGGGATCATATCCTGTGTCCAGCTGAAAGCAGAGCAGAGCACTAGACTAGAAAGAAGTGCATGTTCCAACAATCAAGCCTGGTATGGGCGCAACATCCACCGCCATAGTCTTTGCTTCACCGGCCTCGCCACAAACCATCAAAGAGTGTTGGAGCGTCGTCGGAGGCATCCGCGCTAATTAATTGCATGCAATGCTGGCAAATGGTCAAGAGAAACGAATGTTGCATAATTCTACATGATGTTGCAGTAGCACTACTCGTGCCACCTTCCGCGCGCCGTCCTGCGCAGCGTCAAAGCCGGCCAACTCTGCACCGGACAGGAAGCCGTGGCCCCTGAGACTCGCAGGAGGTTTGGATCTTCAGCGCCGGGTACTTAGGAAGCTCATCACTGGCAGAGGCTCCTTGCCGCGATCCTGGCCAGGGGAAGGATGGTCCGGGGGGATTGTGGCACGATCTCCTCCTCAAAGTAGTCTCCTTGCAGTAGCGGCGCTTCAGGAGAGAATCAGCTGCCGAGTTTCTGACTGTTCAGACCTTGCCAAGTTAGTTACTTTCTGCCAAAGCTTCTGCTGATGTCCCCTCGCCATTGTTGCAGCTTCCAGTTAGCATCTGCGACCTTAGCTGGGTCGGACCAACATCACCCACTCTCATCAGACAATGCGGAGCTTCATGAAATTTTGTGGATTGATGGATGCGTGTCCCGACCAGCGCAAACAAAGGTGCAGTCTGAAGTCGTGATACCCTCTGACTGATGAACTGATCTGACTCATGCCTGGCACTCTGCCTGTGCTTTGACGCAGCTGCCGGCGCGGCAGTCGACTGGAGTCGGCAAGCACGATAGCTGCATGACTTTGCCCCATGGCCCAGGACGACACAGGGATACCCTTGTGGCGAGCTTGAACTGCATCTAGCACGGCTCTGCATGGATGCCTGTGATTTTCAGGCTGTTCGGAGTCTCTTGAGAAAATTTGGCTGGCATGATCCTCTTGATATCTCTTGATTAACAGCCTCGAATTCGCAAATGCTCAGCCATCGGCAGAAGCAGGCCAAGACGACAACTTGTTTCCTTCCTCCACGCTTGTCACTTGTATCTGCAACCTTTTGCTGGTCGTAGCTGTGATATGTCCATCCCATCAACCCAGGACACACACACTCACTCACACACACACGCTCACAAGATCTGGTGCTCCATCGAAATCACCTGCCTGCACCACGGACTTCCGGCGTTCAGCGGTGTCCACCGGTCTGGTAGCCTCTCCGCTCTTTTGGCTCGCAGCCGAAAGCTCAGTTGCGCTACAGCCGGTGACTGAAAGGTCAACAACAGGACTCAGCGACTCAGCCCTTGCGGCCAGCCACACGCATTGCACGCTGTCTCTGCCTGCACGAAGATCAGGTCAACCTCGACTTGGGTCAGTGGCGGAACCGGGAAGACCTGGCAGGTGCACTGCAGTCCTGCACAAGAGCAGTCACCGACCTTGCACTTCATCGACGGTCTGCAGCTTAGACAAGTATGCCGAATGTGGACTCCTTGCCATGGCACTCGGGCCTCTTCCACCGCCAGCTTTTTGTGATTGTTTGCACTTATCACTGGCATGCTTCCATGTTGCGTTTGGAATTCCAGCACAAGAATGGTTTGCATTTAGCACTAGCGTGTGAGTGCTTATACCCCCAATTCTTTCAGCAGATTGCTCCGGAGCATTCACATGTGTCTCCACGTAGAACTGTCAAGCCAATGAAATATCGATAGCATCGTGGGCATAGCCACAGAAAGAGCACCAGAGAGATGCGACTCTACGGATATGTGAACTATCATGTTTTGCAGGAGCGATATGGACAGTATTTCGCAATCAGACATATGTACCGAAACGAAAAATCACCCATAGCGTTCCCGTAACACAACCTGGAAAGCCGGTGATTAACGATTAAGAAGATTGCAGTCGGACAAGCGAGGGCTAAAGTACAGGGACTACTGTACCCTTGCTTGCAAGCGGTGACGCATGCAAACGGCCAAGAGCGAGGCCCTCAAAGGAAGTTGCACGTTGGCCTGTGCTGCCTGTCAAGGACAGATGGCATTCACGTGGAAGCAGCATCAGGACTCGTCTTTGCAGCAGCATCGGAGATTGGAGGGAAGTCCCAGACCGGAACAAGCCGTGATCAGTCAAGAAATGAATGAAGCAATGTCAAGGTCGTGATGAGATCATGAGAACCTTTTGTCAGGATGATTCTCTTCCGCCTGCGCAGAGGAGACGGCAAAGGAGGCCCGTCGAAAGGAAGACCTTTTCGGAGCCCAAGTTGCATGCAAAGTGAAGTGGCATGGTGGTTGGCGCACACGACGAACATGCTGAAGAAAAGGCCCGGACGCAGCACCATCACCGAGCCCGATGCTTCCTGGGGCGCGGAAGGATGTCCAGGCCCGTGCCTTCCCAAAACCCCACGCGAGCCTCGTAGGCCTGTCCGGCCCCCGAAGGAACTCCGGCGGAGCGCCCCGGCGGAGTTCGAGCGGGCGAGGCCTCGCCAAGGGAATTGGTAGCAGCGCGGGGGGGAAGCTACAGGAGAAGAAGGAACAGTGACTCAGCAGCATTACCAGAAGCACCAGCAAAAAGCGAATTGGGAAATTAGTCAAGTACCGTATGCTGCTGCAGCGGTCCTTCCTTGCACTGCAAGAACAGTATGAGCTGCCGATACAGGATTGGCGTAGCGTGGGGTAGCTAGAAGCTCGGAGTCGTTTGAACCCGAGCTTCGTGCCCTGGCGGCTCGTGGCTGACTCCTGGCCTGGCAGGAGATGCATCATTCACGAGACATCTCGCGTCACAACACGACAATTCCTAAAGCTTTTGGGCCTGCCTCAGACAGTGTTTCGCTAGGATGGAGCTGGTACTGGTTCTGCACTTTAGCACTGGCATCTTATCTATGCCCTATGCACCCACAGCTGACAACAAACGTCCACACTCGGCCTGATTTCGAAGGTCGTCGCACACTGGCACGGCGACCTCTCCGCACTTATGCGCAAGCTTGGGATGCTCAAGGGAGGACAGAGCAGAAGCGAGAGTCGCACGCGTCATCGGTCTTCTCAGTCCCTGCCATTCCCTGCCACTACCACAAGAGGGGCCTTCCGGCGCGAAGTCGAAGGAAACTGGGCCGTCGGCCTTGCGAGGTGACGGCTTCAGGTTTCAGTGGTGTGCAGCGTTCTGATGCGTAAGACCTGCTCGCAGCTCTCACGGTGCACTCGGGCATCAGTCCTCGATGGCTAGCAGGCCACAGTCTCGCAGGAAGCGACCGAACCTCGGCGGACAAAGGGGCGACTTAATCAAGTCGTTCAGTCAAGGAGGGACTACGCCTGGAACCGTGCTCGAGGAACTCAGCTCTGCACTTCTGCGATGTCAGGGTGCTTCGATTTAGTGGGTCGCCAAGGGATGCATAGTGCCTGCCATTTCAGCATGGATGCTTCGAGTGCAAGATCACTGAGCGGATGTCCGTTGCAGTGCATGCTGTTTCCGCTCTTCCAGTAGCTCTCGATTCTTCCTGCTCGGCTTTTATTCGCTTGCAAGCGTAAACACTTGGTGGGGCAGGTCGGGCTTCAAGAATCAGGAGCTCACTTCATCGTAACACAGCTGGGGCGGTTGTGCAGGTTTCACATTTTGCCGCTGACGCAAAGCAATTTGGACTGCTTCATGGAGCGGTTGCGTGTTGCTCCTCTGGGTCTGTATATGAAACACCTTGCGGCTATGTAGAATGTAGAACAACTCAGCAACTTGTCTCGCATGTCCTGCTTGGCTGGACCAAGCCGCACGAAACAAAGTGTGCCGGGACAGCCCGAAGGTTTTCTGGATCTCCAGTCTTGCCCACTCCTCAGGGCCAAAAGGCGGGGCTAGAGCTCTTTGGTAGAATACATTATACAAGCCTAATTTGCACAAATCACGTCTAAACAGATCCAACAGTCTTGAAACTTGATCTACATACGCATGACATATTAATCTGTCCACCTGTAAGATATTGGCTTATTCAGTTGCGCGTACACATACATGTGACATGTGCATATACATAAACATACACATACATATATGTGCACACATACATACACACATACGCACATATACCACTTTTGTCACTTTCAGAGGCACTGAATCCAAGTCGGACGCAGCCTGACAAAACATTCGCTTAATTAAATGTTCGACATGCTCAAGCGGGAGCTGTATATACTCGGCGTCTACGTCGCAACCGCCGGCACAGAAATCAGCCCTGCCCAGATCTTGGGCCCATGGCCCTGAGGGGAAGAGCGAAGGAGAGTTACCCGACCGGCCCAAGGATCGAAAAAGCCGTCTCCATGACCCGCAATCCCGCACTAAGCCCCGTGAATCACCACGAAGTGGAAAAAAACAACGAAGCACAGGTTTCAGCACAGCAGCACATGTGTGTGTGTGTGTGACGTGGAAACGAACATGCTTAACAACTCGGAGGCCAACATGATGATCCTGGCCATTGCCAGCTGCTCAACGTATGCCACTTCGGCAAGGATAGCCGGGGCGGGGATGCAATCATCAAATGATTGCCGGGGTAAGGCACCAGATTTGCACGGAACTCGGTAGTGCCAACTTCCAGCTAAAGCTCCGTCCAACAGCATATGTTCTAGAAAGGGATATCCACAGCGGGGCACTCAGGCCAAGGTTGATGCCCTCCCCAGTGGCAGGCATGTCAGCTGGAGGTAAAGACGGGTCGCCAAAGGCACGGCGGACGGCGACCCCACGCAAGGGCAGTGGCCTCCCCCTGACGGCCTCAACGCAGGCACAGACACGGCCTCATTTGGAAAGGCGGCGGCAAAACCCGATGCAACAGTAAGCGCAGCCTGGCTGTCGGAGAAGTACAAGTTATCTCTCGCACAGGAAGCTGTGCCACCAACCCCAGCGGCGGCAGTCAAGGCAAAGCATTCCGCAACGGCGAGACGCAGGAGTTGCACACCACCCAGAGCAATTCTGCTACCGAACTGCAGAAGGGCAGAGAAAGCATCATCAGGCCAGGGGGCCGGGATAACCGGAGGAAACGACAAGGGACACGGCACGTCCCGAGCCCCGCGCCTGCTTCGAAGGCCTCACCCAAAAAAGGCAGTGAGAAGGTGCAGTGTGTCGACAAGAGTGTCAGGGAGCGTAGCCGCAAGGTAGAAGGGGTATCCGTTGTCATCCGCAAGGCCAACCTCCAAAAGGGTGCGGAGAGCATCTTCTTCCTCAGTGTCACGGCCAACCTCAACAGGGACCTCTGTCCAAGCTTGAGCCTCGCGTCTGAAGTCCGCATCAGTCTCGCCCATGCAAACTGGAGGCACAAAGGAGCGAGACGGGGTCGGGACAGACGGGCCGCACAGGAGAGAGGAGCACCCTCGGGAAGACAGGGCCAAAGTGTACATGCATGAATACATACATACATACATACATACATACATACATACATACAGTTACATACATACATTTACATACATACATACATACATACATACATACATGCGCACACATTTACCTGCATAGATACATACGTACGTACATGCAGACACACACACACACATATATATATATATGTGTGTGTATGTATATATTATACATACACGACATGTATATACACACACACACGCAAACACACATAATTGCTTGCTTAATTGCTTCCGTGCACAGACAGACAGACAGACAGACAGACAGACAGGCAGGCAGGCAGGCAGGCAGGCATGCATTTCAGTCTCTTCCTTCCCCCACTGTTGAAACGACCGCCCCCCGCCCCTGCAATGGTACAGACAATTTTCAACACAAAAACATGGAATGCTCGGGATCCATGTTCAGCGCTTCTTTCAAACCACTTACTTCATCT